ATTATTGATATTTATATCATTATTACCAGTGGCAGATTCAAGGGAGCACAGCTGGCCTGGGCCCACCAAATTGTTTAAAATTTTTTTTAAATAGAGATATAAAGAAAATTATATTTAAATTTTAATTCTAAGAATGCAATTTCGGCCACCATATTTTTTTACTCAGTCCTAAATATGGTGGGAGACTGCATGAGGTGGTATAGATCCTCCATCTGTGAAATTACCTCCTCGGGTCCCCTCTATTTTGAATTCCTGGATCCGCCACTGATCACTACTATTATCAACCATGTATGGTTCATAAAATATATACTGAATGATAAGGTTGAGATGGTAAAACACTAAACAAATTTTTGAGTACCATTGCTGCACCCACCATTCTTCAATTACTCCACACTACAAACCTCTTTATGGGGCTGATGTCCTTATGCAGCCATTTTAGTTTAATATTATAATATTTGTAATGATGTATGTAAATGCAAATAAGGAAAACAAACAAAACAAATCCAGCACTTTTCTTTAAAGAGAACTCAAAATATATTTTTGAAATTCTTAATTCAGGTAGAAAATGTTAGGGACTTTTTAATGTCCTCTAATCAGTAGTCATTATATATTTGGTACATTCCCTAGAGTCTAATTATCAATTGTAAAGGTCAAATAACTGGATTTGGCTCATCTCAAAATAATCCACTCTACCATTGACGACAGATTATTCTGAATCTTGGATAAAAGGTGGGGTGGGGATACAGTTCTTGTGTATCCAATAGTGTTTTCAAGCAACAAGGTACAATTACATGACCAATACTACATGTATGCAAAAGTTCATACGTTTTCATGTTCATAAATTCAAGTTCGCTAGTTTGCAAACTTTTGACGAACTTGATGACGTCCGTGTCACAGATGCACGGACGGATTGCAAAGGTTCTTATTCCTTTACAGCATAGGAAACAATAATAATAGTCATTGCTTACCTCACCAATCATCTTTACATTCAGTCGGAATTGTGATTCTTGGTAAATATTTTCCAAGAACCAATCAAATGATTTACATTTTAGTTTATTTCTTAATTCTTTTCGGAATGTAACATCTCCATATTCTGTTTTACGAACACCTGAAAATGAAAAAAAGTTTTGATGGAATCGGTCTATCATTCAATTTGTTTAACCATATACAAAAAAAACTATTTAGTATAAAGAGAATTCTCTATTGGTCAAATTACCAAGCCATACCGTAAGTCAAAAATTGCCCAGAAAGAACATGCAGTTTTCCTAAAGTGTATTTGTTGTGTTAGAATTAAAAATACATTAAAAGAAGTTTTGGCATGGTCAGAAAGTGGCGCTGCTGACTTTTTAATAGGGGTGTTCCCTTAATAAGACTGTTCCCTTAATAGGCATTGGCTGTAGTGTTAAGATGGATACACACTGCAACCGCCAGCCAGTGAACCAACTCTACTCCCCGTGACTTCTAGACAACATGACGCTGTCTGCTAATTTTCGAAGGCAGTCTGAACGTATCAACATTAAAAACAATCCGTTGCATGCGCATTGTGATGCTGCGTCAGGGACGAATCCAGGGGGGGAGCCGTGGGAGCCACGGCTCCCCCACTTTGTACACAGTGTTAAAATTTTAAAGCTTATTCTTGAACCAATACAAATTCTTTCCTGGGATCACTTAAAATGAATACTTCTGAACATGTAAATATCCATCAGTACACGTTATACATAGGCCTAATAGAACACATAAGCCTAAGCATGATTTTAAAAAAATCTTAAATCCATAAATCTCAGGCCAGGTCTTTTAAGATAGAAATGCAATACTGTGGTTCAATTTTGTTTTTATTCTTTTGCAAGTTTCTTTAAATGTTTGTTTAATAATACTACTACTAATAGTAATAATAATAATAATAACAATGATGATGATGATGATAGTAATAATTGATATTAATATTAATAACAATAAAAAGTGAAGAAAATTGTGCTAAATGCGAAAAAAAGTTGTGATTTGTTGATTATAATATAGTATATATAGTTAAAGCTTAGTAAGCTATAATTAGGCCTAAGTTGTCCTGGATATTAAGTAGATTCCTGATAAAAGATCATGAGAAATTTGTTGGCGTTTCATTTTGACTATAATGGTAATGTGATGATGATGAATGTTATTATATAAAAGTGTTATTTCCGGCCATCTCGAGAGGTACTATTTCCTCAAATTTTCTCACCTCAGCCCCAGCCATGGTGGGGCTGATGTGGTTGTGAAATCACGTTTTTGAAGTAGGCCTATATAAAGTACATACTCAAAGACAATGTTTTTAAGCTTTGTTTTCTATTGTGTATACACACACATTAATAAGATCTATGGTTGACAAAAACCCCTGATAAAAGATCATGAGAATTACTTTTGGCGCTTCATTTTGACTAATGGTGATGTGATGATGATGAATTTTACTAAAAGTGTCATTTCTGGCCATCTAGAGGTACTATTTCCTCAAATTTTCTCACATCAGCTCCAACCATTGTGGGGCTGGGGTGGGTGTCGACTTACAAAATGCCCTCCCCCTCCACTTTTCAAAACAGATCTGTGCCCTTCCCATGGGTATGACATTAAACTCCATCGAGCCGGCTCCTGATGTATGTCTTAGTGACTGCTGTTTGTTTTTAGGATGTGATCTGGTTTTTCATGTCCATTTTTTGTGATTATGACTATTCTGGATAAAGACTGTTTTGAGCAGAGGTGGATTCAAGGCACCCCTCTTCATTTTTTAAGGAAAAAAGAGGAAAAATATATTCAAATTGAAGTGTGAGAGTGTAATTTCCGGCCATCTAGAGATGCCCTAATCATAAATTTTCTTACCTCAGCCCCAACCATGGTGGGGCTGAGGTGGGTGGTTTCTCGGTCTGTGAAAGTCCCTCCCTGGTTCACCTCTCTTTCGAATTCCTGGATCTATCACTGTTGATTTATTATACTAGTGTATAATTATTATTTCGCTTATAATGCGTCTATTGCAATTTTCACTTTATCCTCTCAAACAGTCCTAAGAACGTTCAGAGTGCGCTACTTCACAGGGGGATTCGCCCCCCCCTTGACCCCACCGGGGGTCATGCGTAATTCGCATAACGGCTCCCCCCCTTTCAAAATCCTGGCTACGTCCCTGTGCTGCGTTCTTCATAGAATCGCACTGGCCAACGTCCGTCGGGCATTAAGAGCAGAAAAAAATTGCCTTAAAATGACTTCTTCTATAATTACTTGGATTCATTTTATAATAAAAGTTTTTATATTGATCCATCCACACCTCTGCTAGTCTCTGATTATTAAGATTAATAATTTTACCCAATGACCGTCGTGCATTAAGAACAGAAAAGAGTGCCTTAAAATGAGTTCTTCTATACTTACCTGGATTCATTTTATAATAAAAGTTTTTATATTGATCCATCCACACCTCTGCTAGTCTCTGATTATTACGATTAATAATTTTACCAGTGCCTCCAGGGAACGTATAAGGGGTAGATTTTCTGAACACATGTCCAACATGTGAACAAGTAACTATTTCCAATACACCTCCACACATCCATATCTGAAAACAGAGAATAGAAGTTTTGTGCTTTGATAAAATTGATCTGTCACCCTCTACAGTTGGATGTGAAATTATTAGTATTTGTGCTACAAATCATATAGCACTTAATTCCAACAAAGCCATCACAATATTACCCCTGGTCATTGGATCAAACACATATTGAACCCATACTCAGCTCCATCGGAGGAAATTTGTTATATTGCAGATAGTAATCAGCGCATTTTGTGTTTAAACCTACCAGGTTCCCACTTGTACTCTTGGGCGCAGAAAGACAACTGTAGGTAAAGTGCCTTGCCCAAAGACACAAGCAAGGGATCGAACCCCTGACTTCATGGATAAGAAGCTGACCTGCAACCGCTGTGCAAAAACTGCGTTAATAAATTATGCATGCACATATTCAAGTGCCTTAACATTTAAAATATTACTTAGATAACAAGGATCGTTACTTTGGGTTAAAATTGTCCAGGCCAGCCTGACCCATAACACCCCACCCCCAACTTAAAACCACCTGTGCTATAGCACAATAAATCTCACCCTAAATGAAATTTCTAGGTTCTCTCCTCCCCAGACATCCATTCCAGAATCATAAGTTCCTATCTCCTCAAAGTAACTCTTATCAATTGCAAAAAGACCTCCAGCCATTGTTGGTGACCTGAAAAATAAAATCTCATCAATAAATTTGTGATTTTCTGTGATTCAAATATATAATCTTACATTTTTACATTGAAACCAGCAATCTACACAGTCTGTCGTGTTTCAGAAAAACACAATTTATCCATTTTTTGAGAATTTGGCTTAGGGGCACCCTGTGAATGTAATCTATCATGGGAAGGGATCATATACTCCAAACAATTTTTAAAATATAAAATTAGTATCATGCATATTTAATTACTTTCCCAGCTGGTGGCGGTACAGTATGGTTATGATTAGAGTTCCTATATAAAGAGAGTTGCGACATATGAAGCTGCTGGGTAGTCATTTTGGTACCTTGCATGCATGAGTGAACGCAAAGCCTATGCTACAGTGTGGCAATTGCAAAAATAATAAACAATTGAAAAAAATAAAAATATTAATAAGAAAATTTTATTTCATAGTAAATATCTGTTAATCAACATGTGTTTGAAATTTATAACAAAATTCCAAAAGAAATTGATTCTATTATTATTCTATTATTAACTATTATATTACATGCAATTTTTGCTTGACCAAAATTGTTTCATTTGTCTGCAGTGGGGGCCCCAGCAGGGCAAGGAGGCTTAAGCGCCCCCATCGGACAAGTCAAGCCCCCCCCCCCAGCCAAGCTCGTTGAATTGTCGGACCAAAAAATGAGAGCATTGACAATGGCAAAAAATTTGGGAAAAAACATTCAAATATCACTTGGTTAACCTTTGGAAAAATCTTCCACTAGATAAATGGAATTCATTAAATTCTTTAACTTTTATTGAAATATTTGATTTAATTTAAAACTATTTCTTTTTGCTTCTTGTGTATACCAATTTCAGATTTTTTTTCAAACAATTCCTTTAAATTTTATTTCATATTCTAAACATGTTTTTAACTGTTAACGGGACCCTATGGAAGAACGATGTAAATCGATTAAGTATTCAGAATAAAGACAGATTTTTATTTATCTATAACGTTTGAATGTTGTCGGTGGGAGGTGGTGTGGTCATATGGTGTGTTGTTACACATATTGAACATTAAAACATAGAGTCATAATTTGTAATCATGTTTGTGTGCAGCATGCAGTATTATAGTAGAGATCTACTACTCTACAGTATATAAAAAAATCTCCCAGTGACAGTTACCAGCTTGAACAAAAAAAAAACCTTCTTTTCTCGTGGCCGGCCATTTATGCAATTTGCTATTATTTCCGTAGTTAAAAAGACAGACACCATCCGATATTCGTGGGTTAGAATGATTACATTTCCATAGAATGCATACTAAAAATACTTTTTAAAGAGATAATGATTGATGAATCAATTTCCAATTACTGGGCTGCCACACTTGACTAAACAAATTTAAATACAATACTTTTGAAATATACAATAGAAGCCAATGAACAACCATTGTACAGTATGACCCCAACACTTTTCTTTTCTATTCCAGATGGGTTTTTGCCTTTGATTCACATTTATTATAGATCAAGATGAATATACTTATTGAATTTGTAAAAATAACAGATTTCCTGTTTTTGTGACTTTAAACTAAACATATTTAAATGCAATACTTTTAAAACATACAACAGAAGCCAATGAACAACCATTGTACAATAGGCCCTAATAGTATGGTAACACAAACACATTTGCCAGACAGAAAGCCCTATCCTCCTATCCCTAAAGCTAGCCTACCTAGCTTAGTATAGGCCGATGCTGCATTAAAAGGGTGAAAATACACCAAGTTTAAAGGGCAATTTCTCTAAATTCAGCCTTAACGAAAAGTTTTCCTTTTGAAACAGAGTAAAATTACATTTAATAAGTATGTATACAAAAAAAATTATCTCGAAATAATGACACATTCTACGCCTTAGGCCTAATTTCGTAAGAATGGCTGTATTCGACTGGTCGTTCTTCATTAAACCACGCCCATATGCGCAGTGGTAATATCCTACTTAACGAAGAAGACCAGTCGAATAGAAAACTGGTAGACACTCTACAAAACAAAATGGCTGCATAGTTACCGCGATACACACTGCATAATCAAGGTTGCTTTTTTGACTTCATGTCAACTTGTGATTAGTTTGGAATCCATAAAGATAGCTTACATTCCTTGTAGGCCACAACTGATTTGTTTATTTGCACCATGGAGATACCTGTACCGTGTACTGTGGTACTGTTCACACAGACTGTACATTGGCACCACGACTTTAAAACGTACATTATCGCTACCAACTAGACTCACATTTCACATATTTCCCGAAATATTTTGACTTCAAAATTCCCTCAAAATCATAGTATAAGCCCTCTCTCTTTCTCTCTCTGAGAGTGGGCTAAACATTTAAAAATAGGCATATACAAAACCAAAACATGACTTTCACAGTGTAGAGTGCCATTTCCGGCCATCCAGAGGCCATTATTTAAAAAAAATCTTATTTGGGAGGGGGAAATTTCCCTCCCAAACCCTCCCCAAGCATACAAGCTCAAGTCTTCCTGGCGGACAGCTTAGCCCCCCTCCCCCCCCCGAAAATGTATTGTAGAGCTGCCACTGTTTGTTTGATCATGTCTTTCCCCGGAGTTGTACATTACTGCAGAATAGAATAATTTTTAAATTTGGTGGTAAAAGTGCTTTATTTGTTTGGCTTCTATTGGCCATATATTTATAGTGAAATGACAAATAAATATTATCAATATTATTATTATTATTCCATAATCATTAGTATTCCTTTTGAAGGGTCAATTGCATTAGCATAACCTCTTGCCTACAAAGAAGCTTATTTTACGTGGTTCTAAATTAAAATGACTAAAAAAATCAACTTACCTCAAAGGTAAAGTGCGATCTCCTTTTCTCCTCTCATTTTCTCGTTGTGGTACGCCATACCATCTGAAGTTCAGTTTCCAGTTAAAGCCACCGTATGTCAAATCTGAACCTGCATGGTAGCCAAAATTATCATCGCTTATGACATCGATGATTGGACAAACTACAGTTTTCCTAATAAGAAAATATGTTTAGCATGATGTTCATTATAATTAAGCAACACCTATCCAAAGCATTGAATTGACAAAAACTGTTAATAAATGGACACAATATACAATGTAATATAATAAATATGAAAGCAAAAGCTAATAAAAGAAAAAGCAACATTTGCAATAAACGTATACTAGTAGATGATTATACATTGAATGCCAACTAATAATTTTTGTATTATGATTATGTTAAATTTAATTGAGCTCCTGTTCTTAACCTTGTTAAAAAAAAACCATTTGGGAGAACAGTACTTTTATATTGAAAATGTATCCAGTCAAAAGAAAGAAACAAAGAATAAAAGAAATAAATAAAAATAAATAAATAAAAAATTGTTTCAATTAGCAGACTATTCCAAATAATAATTTCAATGATAATAAGGTGGCAACTATTAGCAATCAAAATGAGTTTACAATTAACAATCCTTTAAATTAGTTGAACATATAAAAATCAGATTATATTTGTACATAAATTTATTTAGACAAATGTAGATGCACATTATAAACAGCAATGATATTGAAAATGTATCCAGTCAAAAGAATAAAAGAAATAATAAAAAAAATAAAAAAAAAATAAATAAATAAAATAAATAAATCAATAAATAAAAATAAATAAACATGTGGCAAAATAAACCCTAAAATACTACTATTACTATCAACTAATTAATAATATTATGCCAGTTTTTTATGGCATCATGCTAACGGCTTATATGCGTTTATACATTATTACGTAGATCACTGGATCAAACACAGATGGAACACTACTCATTTTCCTGGGGAAGAATTTCAAAATATTGTTGCTACTTTTTCACAACACATATTAGAGTTTAAGCCTACCAGGTTACCTACTTATACACCTGGGAGGAGAGAAACAACCCTAGAAGTGGTTTTCTCCAAGGACACAAGGAAATGCAGAGCAAGTGGTTCAAGCTTTGTACCTGAATGTTAAAAGCCTAAATCGCAAGTGCTGTTCCAACCGCTCCAACAATCAGCTAACTGAAAAAACACCTATAGTCTCTAGCTGTTTTCTCGCTTACAAAATGTAGAAACAAAATAAATGATATAACTGAGGGAAAGGCCATCATGATTTGAGGTGAACCTCAGAAAAATATATATGAAGCAAATTCAAAAAAGCCCCATAACAGGAACACATAACGAAGTCAGGATGTTCGCATTACACATTCCCACGCAGCCTGTTAATCCAAAGTCCTTGGTTAATCTTTCCTGGTACAATTTGCTAGGCCAAACAAACAACGTGGCTTGTATATCTTAACCTAAAAAAGTATGATAGTAACATGGCTTAATTAGCGAATGAAAGTGAATATAAACAAACTTGACAAACCTGTCTAAGTAAATCCTAGCAAGGAGTGGTTCAAGCCAGCCTTTAGTGCATTCACAGTGGGCATCAAGGAAAGTGATCACTTGCCCCGTAGCAACTGAGGCTCCTCTCAGACGTGCCCTAATCAGACCGCTTCTTGTCCCCATTCTCTCTACTCGCACCGGTACTGGTAGCTGGGCCACATATGTCTCCAACTGCTTACCCAAAAAATCTGATGGATAAAAGGAATGATTTTTATATAATAATAACATAATATAATATATATATTTCAACAAAAAAAAACCAAAAAAAAACAAAACATCAAGACTACAAAATATACAAAGGAGAGCTCAGACGAAGGGGGAACAAGTTCCTATCACCAAATGGTTTCATCTGCCCAAAAAAACGAAAATAATGATGACATAAAATATTAGGCATATAAATTAACATAAATTCTATTATTAACTTTGCTGTTGAATAAATGCTGTAGTATCTATTTTAAAGTTGTTTAGAGAAGTTGAGTCTTGTTTCAATTAGCAGACTATTCCAAATAATAACTTCAATGATAATAAGGTGGCAACTATTAGCAATCAAAATGAGTTTACAAAACAATCCTTTAAATTAGTTGAACATATAAAAATCAAATTATATTTGTACATAAATTTATTTAGACAAATGTAAATGCACCATTATAAACAGCAATGATATGGAAATTCCGAGATATTGAATAAATGTTTGACCTAAGGAATCTGATGTGATTTTTTTTAAACCCAGAAATTATCAAAGACACAATCATTTTGATAACTAACCACAAGTGAATTAGAAAAACACTTCAATAATCTAATCACTGAAATACAGACTTACTGTAAAGTTTGGGGAAATCCCCAAAATTGAAATATTGCAGTCTAAAACCAAGTCACCCTGCACTTAAATAATAATGGCTGGACCAGATTAATTGAATGGAGCTAACAAAAGCCAGGCATTTATATTCTTATTGTCATGAGTTTTTTTTTTTTTTTTTTTTTGCATAGACTACTAATTGAAGAAGTATAGAGGATTATGTGTATCAGCAGGCTTTGCACCTTAAATTTCTGATAAACAGTGCGATGTTGTTTTTGGTTCAGTTAGGTTTCAAGTATTTCTTGAGTTCGGGTTCATGGTCTAACTTTTTTTCGTTCTTTTCTTTTCATTGTTGTCTTGAGGCTGGTTCAACGGGAGGCACTATACATTATTATTATATTATTCGCAAATCGCAAATTATTAAATTATTATGTATCCATATATATCTCTATTTTTTATATTTTGATATTTTTGTCTTTTCTCCTTGTCTGACTTGTCTTCCCTTTCCTTTCCTCTTCTATCTTTCTTCTTTTGTAATCTGTTTGGGCTCTGTCCCCTCTCTTGTCGTTTATTTTAAGAACATGATCCTAGGGAGTTTTTCTTTTATCCAATTTTTGTAATGTATTTTCTTCGTGTTTTTGAATAAAATTGATTTTAAATAATCATTATGTTAATACAATTTTAAAATGAGTCCTTACAGCCCTCCAATATGTCTAGAATGTAATTACATTCAATATTTTTGTGGGAGTGGTTTTTGTGATTTTTGTTTAGAAATGCTTGACTACCGACAGATGAAAAATAAATAAATAACAAGAAATATTTCCTATAAAAAAACGCCACAACTTCTGTAGCTTATTCAATTTGTGTATACAGCTACTTCCAAATTTATCCTATGTGTACATTTTGTTATCGTATTTAAGTTAGCTCTTGAATATTGTCATATTGACAATGACAAATATCATAGGGCTTATGTACTGGTATATTTTGTTGAACAATAAGCAGGTTTGAGAAACACTGATGAACATCATCATCATCATCATTATCAATTAATATCCATGTGAGATCTGTTATACATTTATGTTTCTTAATAATTGGAACAATATTCTTATCTTTAAACTTCCTAAATTTATTTAACATACATACATACATTATCCATGCTTTTGACATGGTGATAAAGTTTGGGTAAGCACTTTATATCACTATTTTGATATTAATTGTTTATATCATTTAACAACATACATATTGACAATAGCAAATATCATATGGGCTTATGTACTGGTATATTTTGCTGTAAAATAAGCAGGTTTGAGAAACATTGTTGAACATTTATTAAGACTCATGTACGATATTTTTATACACTTATGTTTCTTAATAAATGGAACAATATTCTTATCTTTGAATTCCTAAATTAATTTAAAAATTAACAAACATACATTATCTATGTTTTTGTTATGGTGATCAACCCCACTTTGTCTGGGTTGTAATCCCATTTAATTATAAGCTGTCACCTAGACTCAAGGCTCGACCACGTTCATAACCTTCAGAGGCTTCATCATCAACTATTGTCGATCCACTACTGGACAAATTTTTCGGATGTCGACGCCAAATCAATCTTTTTCACTTACTGTGTTGCACGATTTCACTCTTCCCCAATAAATGCTCATCTCTTAATCTAGTTCAAGTTGTTTTTTTTCCCTTGTTCGTTCTGCCATCCACGGGGTCTGTTATTGTTTGTTGTTTGTACTCCTGCTGCCTACAAGTTCAACAACCAGAATGAAAACCACTAAGCCCAACCACATTTTTACCATTATTGTTATTAATATTAATAATAATAATAATATTAATTTTAATATTATTTTATTTATTTGTATTCATTCCCCTCCTCCACTATAGCTTGGCTAGGCCTTTCTACTACTGCCGCCAGTGTGTGGCTATTTTATATGGGTCGATAAAACATGAGTACTGTACGATATCTCGATAATAGTTAGCCTAATCCTAACCCTCTCCAGCGTAAGGCACGTATTTTTCGACATTAAATGTGGAATACCCTGGCTCTACTACTTGGCTAGTAGTAGTAGTAGGCCTAGGCCCTAGGTTGTGTCGTCAGTTTCTGTGGTTATTTTGGATTGTATTATGGGATTGTCAATGCATAGGTCTACGTACGTAGGTATGACAATAGAGCCTAATATACTTTTTTTGCGATAATTTAATTACAATTCCCCTTGATGAACACTGATGAACTGGCTGTAAAGATAGCCAAAATAGAGGCTTTCGACCTGCTCAAGTTTTCATTATATTCCATCCATAGTCCTATATAGTTTTCCCGTTTCTATTTCATAACCTCTTCGCAGCCGCTGGTTTCTGGACGATTTCTTGATAATCATACCCTCTTCGCAGCCGCTATTTGGTTCTTAAGATGTCTTAACAGCCGCTATTTGGTTACTGAGACATCTTTTTGGTAACGGCGCATGCTCGGCATGCCTTGATAACGTCACTTACTTCCAAGCGCATGCTCACTGGGTCTTTTTTAAATAATTCACAGACGTTATTTGGTAACTGCGCATGCGCATTGCTTAGTTTGGAATTCTCATTTCTTCGTAGTAAAAGCTACCGCTACCTACAGTTTCTTAATGACTATTTCCTCTTGATCGTTACAGTCTAAATGTGCGGCACGGAAAATAGCTTGTTTTACAGTACTGGGCTCCCCTCTTTCTCCTTTTACTTTTTCTTTTCTATAGCTGTTTGGAAGGGGGAAGGATTCCTCCTCACCCCTGTGGCTAATTGGATCCTCCTCTGGTTATCATATACTAGTGGTGCATCTACAAGAAAACATGGCAACACACATGCTCCCCGAAAAAAGCTTGCACAATCCCAACTTCTACCCTTGAAAATCTGCTAAGTAAACAAATTAACTGTACTTAAAAATCACCTCAAACTACCTCATTTTTTTGTCGATTGGTGGTGACACACATATTTTTTAGATATATTTTGCAGAGTTATTTGTAGCCAATTTTGTGGCACATACCATATTTGCCAGATTCAAGATTCAAGAAATTTTATTTGTCCATTTAAAAATACAGAAAATTGTATTGCTTGGCAGATGACGAATGTACAGATTGGACATAAATAAAAAGAATGCTCAACAAATCTGGGCCAAATTGAGAATACTGGCCTACTTTTGAAAGTAACATGAACAAAAATATAAACTGAAAACTGAATTGTAATACAGATTAACAGAGATGTGTATAAGAGACAGTATATCCTATATATTATATCATGTTAAAGGATGCATACATTTTGTTTTAGGCAGAATTGAAAAAAAAATAAAAGTAAAAATCTTGTTTTTATGACATCTACGGTAAATTGTATTTATGTAACCTTCAAAACAGCTTTGTTTGTGAGCTACTGGTATACATCCAGGAACTACAACTATTTCCTATGACAATATCACTTTCCCTTCAAACCAAGCCTTATTTCAGTAAGATAATTTCAGTTCACTAAAAGGTAAGCTACTTTTAAATATTATACAATATTTATAAAAAACAATAGAGATGGAGGATGAATATTTAGCTAAAATTGTAATAATTCATAAATAATTCATGTCACTTTATTGAAATTGTATAACCAACAGATTGGATAATACAAAATATCCCAATAGTATAGTAATATAAGTATTGTACTCTATAAACCCTAAAGTACTTTTCAAACCAAATACAATATAAGAAAAATTGTAATAAATTCTATCAATTACTATACAATGGTAGTGAAGAAGACAGCGGAATGTATGCATGCATCTTACAGTATGTAAAACATTTACAATTTTTTGTTTTATTTTTTAGGGATAGACAATTCAGTTTGCACCAATAAATAACATCTGAAAAAATGAAAACGTTGAGTGTGATCATAGCAGCTTTTGTTCTGCAAACCGCACATTCTGCTGAAGTAACTTTACCTGCAAATCAAGTAGCCAATCCTAATCATAAATTTACTTTTGTGTGTATCACAAATCTGACAGATTCACAGAAGGATGAAAATTACAACATTAAATGGAAAAAGAACAATGAACTTATTGCAGTAAATAACACAGTGCTAAGGTACAGTGGACAGATTTCGAGTTTCAGATTCCCTACCCAGCATCAACTAATAATACACAATGTTAGTGCAGAAGACAGGGGAATGTACACTTGCATCTTGGAGTTCACATCTTCACATCTTCCTTCCACAAATTCTTCAACAAACTTACTTATTAAAGGTTACTTGCCCAAACCATTCTGTACAAAGCCTGTAAGCTATGAAACAGGACCCACTACACTGGTGTGTTCATCTGAAGTAAGTATTCCTTTTGTGAAAATACAACTGCTTAATAGTACAACAGGAGATACTGTAGTAGAGGTTGTCCAAAATACTAATGTTGGCATTTTCAAATTGGAACACACAATTGACGTCAATGAGATTGGAGATG